CAGGATTTATAGGCTCAAACTTTGCATCATAATAAATCTTTGCACACATTTCACATGAAGGGAAAGAAAAGACAGTGTGTTAATTGTTTTTTTTTTTTAATATTGTACTTTTTGTGCATTTGTCTTCTTGTGTTTTTGTAAACTTCACCTTAGGTGTCCTTCAGGGCTCTGTTATTGGAGTCCTGCCATTGTGTTGTTTATTTTTCACCTTAGAGAGCAATTGTGGTTGGATTTTTCTTTTTTAATCTTGAAAGTCATTTACTGAACATAACTGAACTTAATTGTTTCCCAAGACTTGTAACGCTAAAGCTGTCAGGTGTATAAAATCAAGCCGAAGAAAGCTTGATGTCACGAAAAAAAGGGACCAGAAATCTGGCATCTGACAGCTCTGCCTTGCTGATTTGATGCAGTTCTTTTATATAGACTTGCATTGCTCAATCAGTATTTTTTTTAATGGTGTGTTTTTTGCAGTGCTCAAAGAAATATATTTTTAGCAGACTTAGTCTCTAAAACCTAAATGATTTTAAATAATAGTTTTTCTTTTAATCTTTTACATTAAAAACATGCATTTATTATATTGTGTGGTATAATTTTTGACACTAAGTAGTTTATTATTTTTAATGAAATGCTAGACTTCCCCTTTGATCTCCCCCTTTACACAATAAGAAGGGAGATAACTGCAGAGACCCCTACAGCCATGAGATGAAAACATAATTTAAGATATGTGTGAAGCAGAAATGATGAACAAATTGAGAATAAGAATTATAGACTTATTTTTAAACATTTGTTATTTTGAAGTATGTTTATTTTTTGTCTTCTTAAATATCCATGCTTTCATGCAAACATTTGAATTTTTACTTTCATAAAATTTTAAGTACATTCAATTTCTGCCAAAGCGTGGCCCTCCCTCCATCAGGTCCCCCCCGATCAGTCTTCTCCTGTTCTGGGAAGCTGTTTGTGGTTGTGAGAACCTCAGAGACAAACCCCTCCACCCCAGTGCTCAGCTCTCTTGATCTTTCAATTGTATAACTTCTCCACAGGCTTCTCAGTTCTGTATAAATCATTGTGATTCTTTCTCTCAGGCAGGAGAGCCAGGCCTGCTTCAGTCTTCATCACTTCACTACAAATGCACACACACACACACTCACACACATACACACTCACACACGTACCCCACCACACACAGTCAGAGGCAGGGATAATATTTTCCTTGAAAGCTTCTTGAACTTTGCAGATGGGAAAACATGCCACTATTTTTTGCCAAACCGCTTCTTCCTGAAAGTTAAGTTGCTTCCAGTTTTAGAAGCTGGGCCCGGCAGTCTGTTATCGAGCGTGTCATCAATAAGGCATGAAGATAATTCAGTTACACTCTCACTTTGTCTTCACTCCGTCCAGTTTTAATCCAGTCAAACYGAAGTGATCAATAAACTGAAGGCAAGAGTGGAAAAGAGAGAACAAAGCAGGGATTTGCTGCCCTCTAGTGGTGACACATTGCATGACTTCTATATTGTATTGGTGACATCTTCAGCCGTTTTAGACAAGGTATTGCTGCAATAAATATCACAGCAGGCCAATAATAATGTAATTAAATTAGAACCTTATAAACAGATTGATCTCACTGTAAAGTTTAATGAAGTCTTTAATAGTATGACAACTATTAAATCAAGCACTTTTATAGTTCCATCAGTGTCAAATTCAAACAGCATATATTTCTCTTTTTTTTTGTATTTTGTGTCCTATTTTAAAAAACACACTTGCTCATTTTTGTTTTCTTTTTCTCAGGCTTTTCTAGTAAGTTTTACGCCCAGCTCCGGGCTGTTGTGAAGATGATATTCTCTCCTGTAAATGCAGGAGTGTTTTTTTTTTTACACACCAATTTATCTCTGTCAGTCCAGTCAGTATTTATTATTTGAGTGTTGCCGCAGGGTTTTTTAAAACTACTTTCTCCTGATGAGAAAAAAAGATGTTAAAAGAAAGAAACACTATCTGAATTTGCTCAAGTGTTAAAAGCCTGAGGCTGCTAATGGATGTTTTTAGTGTTGGATGACTTCATCAAAGAAATGATGAGTTTGTTTTTGTATTTTATCTGTTCTTCCTTTGTCAAGTTATTTAATGAACTCAACTCCACTTTAATTTTGTTCTATATGCATTGTACATGTAATGAAAGATTTTAGCAGGTCAGAGATTCTGAATTCACATCATTTATTAGTTATAAATAAAATTGTAAACATCAACTTGGTTTTATTCTAGAATAAGTTTCTTTAATTAATTTTAAGTGACATCAGGATCTGCTAAGAAGAAAAAAGCTTTGTCAAATGTTTAATTTATGGTTGATCAGAAGGACTGACTGACAGAAAGAGTTTTTTTTGTTTGTTTTGTTTTTAAAGTCTCTTTTAGTGATGTTGGAAACAAAAACTCTCCATATTTGGGCCCTTTTATGCACGATCCAGCAACAACATGATGAGGAGGCGACATCTCCTTTTGAATAGGAGACCGAACGAAGCTGCTTTCCTCTTTCTTTACAGCAGGAGTTTTCGAACAACGTTTCATTAAGTGGAGAAAAAAAAAACTACAAAAACTGTTCTTTCTGTCTGTTAAATTTGTTACCAAGCAACCACGGCTTTGCAAAGACCCCTGTGAATAACGGCTCCTCTTCATCCAGACTGAGCCAAGTAATGAAAGCACGACAAAATCCGTCTGTAAATGTTGTGTGCAAACCTTTTCATTATGAGGGGGRAAATCTGCATCAGAGGCACAATGGATACACGTTTTCTACAGCTGACAGGGATTTCGATTACCTTTGCCTTTGCATGATACAGTTATAATAAACATGCTGCCATCAATGTGTATTTTGTCATATTATATAAACCTGCAGCCCTTCTTGTCATTATCTGATGAAGGCATTAAGACCCTTTAAAGCAGAGGTGCCCAAAGTGGGGCCCGCGGGCCAAAACTGGCCCACCAAGCCATTTGATTTGGCCCACCAGCAGTTGTTCTGGTTACTAGATGGTACAATATTATCCAGTTTTATGTAGAAACACTATTTTTCCTCTTAATTATTCCAACCATTGGTCTAACTATATAAAAGGGCTGTAGTGCAGACAGTCTCAACTCACAGTACTTTATCTTTGAATTATATTAGAATTAAACATAAAATACAAGTAAAGAGACATTTAGATTAGATTTAAGCACACGTTTAGATTTGCACACTTTATAAGACCACAAATAYTCAAATTTTATTTTATGAAATGTCCCATGAGCTTTTGCTGCTCAGGTGTACATCAAATTTTCTGCACATCCACTGGCTATCAAAAAACAAATAAACAAACAAAAAAATAATGTGGGCTGCTAGCTTAATCATAAAAAAATAAAACGACTTTACATAAGAAGTRTTGGCATTTCATGTATTATATTGTTGCATTTGGCCTGCAGCCCTCAGATCAGTTTTCATTTTGGTCCTCTCAAGGAAAATGTTTGGGTAGCTCTGCTTTAAAGTGAATGTTTTTTGTGATTAATTTATGCAGACAAGCTCATAATGAATACAGGAAAAGGTTGCTTCTGTTTTGTTCTTCTGGTGCTGTCCATTTATCACCCCAAATATGCAAAGACTTTTAAAGTCCTGTTCAACATAACTGCACAGATTGTGCAAACCTCTTTTTAAATTATGGCATTATCTTGGAGTCCAATCTGTCTATTTGTTAGCAAATTATCAGAAAAAAATGAACCATTGAACTGAGTTTATTGAAAGTTTTAAAAAGGAATCGTTAGATCTRCCACTAATCTAATTCAAGATGGCGGCTACAGTTAAATGACCTTAGGGAGCACAAAAATGGCTATAACTCAGTCAGTTTTACAGACCTTGAATTAAAATGTGAGGTGGTAATAGCTGAGAATCATTCACACCACATGCTCAGCATGAAATTCTTCAACTAGTTTAATCAAAACGGCTTCGACTCTAAACATATGATGCTAATCTGAACCTCTGACACAAAAGGTGGAGGGTATATACTTAGTTGGACAGAAAACTTGAATTCCTACATGCTTTTAGGCTCTTTTCTTCATACAGAAACATCTTGGCAAAGTTGAATTGTGTAGATTAAATCTGACTAAATTTAGCCTTTGAGCTTTTTATGGGACTAAAATTAAATTAAAGTAAAATTAAATTTAAATTGGACAGCTTGATTCAAAATTAAAAGTTGATTCTGACTCAGTCTTAAGCAGCAAATGTTATCTCCATGCTGAGCATGTTTGATGGCTTCTATTGGTATTTTAACACAACTCAGAAAAAAAATCAAACAAACCAGCAGACAACAAATTCCACAAATTGACTTTATAAAAGATTGCATGTTGCTCGACAGACACATCAATCACTTTGAGAATGACGGCAGTTGGGATCAAGTGCAATGAGACAAACAGAAACAGGAAGTGCTGCGATGACACATTTCTTCTTTACCTAATTTGTAATTTTTTTTCCTTTTTATCATGAATGAAGCACCCGAGTTTAAAATGTTAAAATATATATTTAGTTTTTAGAGTTAACCCACCTTATATGTAGCATGTTTGCCTTCTTGGTGCTCAGACCTCTGAAAACTTACACTTTTTGCTTAAGACACACTTTTTGCATTGATTCTGACTTTATTTTATCTAACTATTACTGCACATATTTATGTAGTTTTGATGAACTGTCAAATTACAAGCTAATTTACTTACTAAAATAGCAATGTAGGTTCTTTGGGCAGCCTCTGCTGATGATAGGCATGTGTGTTTGGGGGGGGGGCAGCTTTTTGTTTCTTTTACAGGCTGGTTTAGCTGCTTTATATGTTCTCTGGTGTGACTTTTAACAGTCTGATTTATAATGTTCCCTATCTGGTGTGAATATATATATATACATACATACATACATATATATATATATATATATACATATATATATATATATATATATATATATATACATATATATATATACATATATATATATATATATACATACATATATATACATGTTAATTTATTAATTTATTGCAGGAAAAAAAGCTGTTACACAAAWTAAGCCTAAATGCTTCATTGAGATTTCTTATATAAATCTACCAGATTTTGCCTACTGCTAATGAACAAAGTGCATAAAAACAATCTTATTATTTCTGAGTGTTTTCTTTTTTGATTTGCTTTTCAGTTCATAATTTTTTTTTGCATTGAAGTGAAAACAATTGCCATGAATTACAGGAATATCAAACATTGTATTAAAATTATGAGTTGACAAATATGTGACATTAGAGATAAAATAAAAATAACAGTGTTAGTTGGTGGTGAATAGTGATTAGACACATTCATTGACAACATTCAGTGGTTCACACACACAAGTGACAACAGCAATAGTTTGGATTGGTGAAAAGAGTAAATAAAATAGAAAAAAATCACAATCTTGAGTCTCAGTAACAGATTATTCACATATACTCACTTTTTTTTACCCAAACTACACACAGTTACTTTAACTCTACTGTGAAAACCCTTCATTTTACTTTTATTTTTCAGTCTTTATTTTTTAAATTAACAATCTCCTCTTTCTACTTTTATATACTGTATATATAGCTGATCTGTAATAAGTGGATATCATTTTCTCTTTAAAGCTAAAAAAAAGATCTGATAAACGTGTTCCTAATGTTACAGCTTTCAAAGTGCAAGACTGTGGTGGTGGTGCTGGGGAGGGGGGAAAGTGCACGAGTCCTGCCTCTGGATCACTCATAACATCATCATGTTACAGTAAGAAGTGTTCACACGTGGAACCATGCTGAAGAACGAGCACACAYGGAAACGTTTCATGTTCCAGCACATGACCACCATTAAAGCAAAAGAAAAGGAGCCCTACTGTGAGCCACAGACAGCAGTGTGCTCCAGGAGAAACCAGCTGAAACACAGGTGATGTGTCTAAACGCTGTTTGATCGTTGGAAATATCACAGAATGTAAGGTTTTTGTTGAGTTCAGTGTTAAAGCCTCCAGTGAGTCGTCTTTCCTCATCAGATCTAGAGTAAATCTGGCCAAACATTACTATCCAAATCTCTCAGCTCACTGCCTGACAGGTGTRTTTTACCACAAAGAAAAACCATACTGCTGAAATTCCACGTAAACGGAGCTAAAAACTTAGACTCTCATGTTCTTTAAGTGTTCTAATTTTACAGAGGCATCAAATTTATGAAAAAGCTAACAAACTCATACACACATAAAAACATAATAAAAATATGAACGATTATGGAGTTGGGATAAATTTTAATGAACCTCTCAGAAAGTAATCATTAAACGTACATCTACGGCTGGTTAAATTTTAGAATCAAACCAAATCCAAGATGGCCGCCACAGCTGACCAGCCTTAAAAAAGCGCACTAATGACTTTGTCATCTTGACAGACACTGAGCTACAATTTCATGCAGTAATAGCTGAGAACCATCCTCATCACATAACTCAAGCAGTAACACGTCACTTCAGGTGTTTATGTAAAACCTTAGCATGCACGGTAGGTGATTATGCATTTATTTAATGTTAGTCTCACWTGTGGATTGAAGTTGGTAACCTCAAACATTTCACGTCAAACTTTCAAATAGTGTGTTTTTTCTTTATTTTTTATGTCCATTTTAATGTTTGCATTATTTCCTTTAATGGATGTAAAAGAACAAAAAAATTTTTTTAAAAGAAACCAAAGGTTTTAAGGGAGATTTGATCTTCCTTGTCTGGACTTTATTTTGTGTAATAGCTGACACTGCTGTGTGTGGCTTCACCTTCACCGACAGCCGTCCAGAAAAGCAAACACAGTGTGCAAACAACACGACACATTTGGGTCACGAGTGCTATACATTTACATCCTCAGGTTCAAAGTCTCTCACACACACACGCGCGCGCACCTGCACGCACACACACATATGGCAGTTCCACTTTATAAACACACAAAGCTCACCTGGAGTGGAAATCATCTTCACACTAAACAACAGAACATCACAATCCAGATTCTTGATGCATGCAGTGTCCAGTTTACTCAGATTATTTTTTAAGTGTAATTAGTGGGCTTCGTTTAGCCTTTTAACCTGATGGAYTGAAATACTTGCACAAGAGGAACTTTCAGGCTCGTTTGAGATGATTTCACTCGTTGATACACACTATGGCTGACATCATTTAGGTGTGAAATTGTTTTATTGATCCCTTCTTCCTCCCTGCTTCAGCTGATAAGTTCTTAGTAAATGAGTGTGGTTACTGTTACAGTGTGGTGTGCAGTTTAGTGTTAATGAATATTTACAGGAGGACTGGTTACAGAGCGACAGATAAGGGCTTGGCACTGATTTGGTTTTATCACACTGACCCAGACTGACAAGTCTGTACAACCAAGTGTAAATGAATGCATCCCACCGTTTGTGGGATTTTTATTCCTGTTTCTATTTCTGTGCCCTCCTTTTGTCTTCACGATCCTCCTCCTCCTCCTCCTCCTCCTCCTCCTGTCTCACTGTGTGGGGGAGCAGTCGTCCAGATCCAGCAGCTCCCGGACCAGTCTCTCTCCGAACTGCGCTCGGCTGTAGCGCTTCACCGTGTAGGCGTCGGACATCTTGTAGAGGATGTACGCGTTGTTGATGGCGATGCTGATGCTCAACCAGAACACCTGCTGCCAGGTCTTATTTGGCTTATGRAAGATAAAATACCTGGGAGTGGGGGAGGAAAACAATAAAAACAGCTCCTTACTGCACAGTTTCTACTTGAAGATTAATATACTGTATATACTATATATAAAAGCTGAAAGAAATCCCCTTTTAGCTGCTGTAAAAGTTGACGTGGCACATACTTGCTGTACTTGTCGTCGTATTTGCAGATGTAGCTGAGATGAGCGGCAAACGCCTCAACAGCCAAGGGACATGGGATTTCTCCACTTTTTCTCTTAATGATCATACCTGCAACAAACACACAAGGTGATAAAATGTTTTTGTATGTTACATGACTCTWGTTAAGGACTTTCAGGTTATTATTTGAAAAACAATAATAGTCTAATACTGCAGACTACGGTTGTAGGCCTAGCATTTAATTATCTAAATGACTTTGCTGCTTTTTATTATATGCTGTTTAAAAAAAGTTTTAGATTGAAAGAAATGTTGTTACTAATGCTCAGATTGAAAAAGGATTTCCAGCCTATCACCCAGGGAAAATAAAAGCAAAACAATGCTGGATGGTAACAAGTGAACTGCTCTGGGACAGCACAGACTCATACTGGAGCAGGTTCAAAACCAAACTGCTTGATTGGGAGAGGATTAATGATGCTGCCCTCTCTCCTGTGGATTAGCAGCTCTTATAGATTCTCTCTGACAGAAACATTTGATGACTTGCCAATTTCTCCTGATGGTAAAGTTTCATCCAAAAAAAAAATACAGTCAAGCTTTATTATAAAGTATTTGTATTTTACCTTTTAGAAAATGATGCATATTGTACGAGTACAAAATTACATCTACATCTCTTTACAGCTTTATCAAACTTAGCATAAAAGCTAAATCAACAGAGCATTTTGTGAATTTGCCTTTAGGTGTATTTCCCCTCCCAGAGGTGTATAATAAAAAAAATGCATTTACTTCATTACAGGACTTAAGTATTTTTTTGAGGATCTGTAATTTATACAACATATTATTTAAAGCATAACTTTTACATGCTATTTAGTTACATTCAAAACATAAAAAACAGTTTTACTTTTTTTTTACTTTACAACTGAACACCTCGTTACATGCTGCAAATTTAAACATGACCGAAACTCATCATGAAAGGAGTTTGTCAAATAACTTTRTCATTTGTTAGTATGTTATATGCAGTCTGAATATCCATTAAATTTCTAAAGATTTTTATAAACTGGGTCAAAACATGCCATTTCCTTTAAAACGCTTGAAAAGCAAGAGTTTGATTTTCCCTTCAGAGCTCCTGAAKGAGGCAGAGCGATGCGTGACGTCACTGTGGTCAAACAACCTCTCACCTGTAGAAGCAGCTTTTGTTTTCGAAGTTTTACATTTTTCTGTGGATTTGAAATGGGCTATTTTGTGGCTTAAGTTAAAACAAGTAATGCAGCTTGTTCCAATAAACTGAGTTGAGTAAATGTATAGTATGTGTAAAAGCTCAGTTTAATCAATTTTTTACTGAAATTTATCAATTTACCATGGACTGCTGTCTGTGTTAAAGCACCAGTAAGCTGCTTTCTCAGTGTTCCTTTAGTATGGCTCATTGAAAACAAAAATATTCATTTATTTATTTTATTTAGAGTGGCCCACAAGTTAATTATACCACTGCATTCTGTGTAAGATATTCAAAAAAGCCAGTAATATAGAGTTACTGTGCAACCAGTCTGCATTAATGGTGCTAAAGTTTAGTGACATTTTCTTGTTATTTACACTTTAGTTGTATGATAGACAGACTGGAGACTTTTTGTTGCGTTCCTACAGAAGACACTTCAGTTTTATTTCCAGGCAGACAGCAGCACGATCATAGAGGAACGTCATTCTTTATTATGATTTTGAGTTTCACTGAGTTCTTATGAATAATACTTGTTTTCTCAGGGCTAAATTATGTTTTCTAGAAATTGTACCTCCATTGTTTTCACCCAATAGAAATAAAGGAACTAATAAGAGAACAATTTTGTTTAAGCTTCATATGTATGAAAACAATTCGTACTTTTCCTTTCCCAGTTAACTTTTACTGAGGCTCCTCCCACGACAGTCACAGTTTTGTTTGTTTGTTCCTTTCTGCGTTTGTGGTAAGCTGGGGAG